GTTGCCGGTTTTGTTATTTAGGGAATCTTTCCATTCTGATTTATTTAAAGGTAAAACAAACAAACAAACAAACAAACAAACAGAAAAAGAAAATACCTTCAACGTTAAAATAAAAATATATATAAATGAACAGTTGCCCGGAGCATTATAGGCCTCCTTCTCATGTTTCTGCACTTACAGGAAAGCCCAGCTGAGGGTGGCACTGCAGAAAGCATGCAGACAACCTCACAACTCTGGTAAGTGCAACAGAAACCCTGAGCTAGACCCATGAGGATTTCACAGAAATGTTTCCTTTGATAATTTTCAAACACAATTTCTTTTCTCATTTGTTGACTAAGAATGGGCAAAAAAAGACAAAAGAAAGTTTCTTAAAGATGCCTTGTCTTTGTTTTTTATGGAAAAAGAAAATTCCCAGGTTTCTCTGAGGAAAAGAGATAACTGCTAAGCCAGCTTACATGTAGTGTAGGCAGGACTATTTTTCAGCCGGAACTTAACGGAACTCTCAGGTGGGTGCCATGGCCATTCTAAGAGAACAAGGGAGGCGTTCGTGGTGAGTTCTGGCACCTCTTTTCCCAGAAAAATAGCACTGGGTGTAGGTATACCTCTGAACTTCATAATTTCTATCTATTCACATGGTAAAGTGGTAGTCACAACACCTGCTGTCTTGGTACTGCAGTAGATGATAAAAAATCCTTCCTGTTGATTGAGAGCTGTTAAACAAGTGCCAACTTTGGAAGAGCAGGCAATATTATTTTTCAGTGCAAGCAGGGCGGTAGATTGAGGTGTCTACAAAATGCTGGTATGGAAAGATGCTTTTCAGTGCTAAGTGAGCCACCTTTTCCATGATTATGGCTGGAATTCTGTGGGTGTTGAGGATTTGAAGAGTTTTCACACAGTATCCATCGTTGGAGAGACCTTTGTTTGCTTTTAAATTGATGGGCGGGAAGAAGAAGAAGAGTTTGGATTTGATATCCTGCTTTATCACTACCCTAAGGAGTCTCAAAGTGGCTAACAATCTCCTTTCCCTTCCTCCCCCACAACAAACACTCTGTGAGGTGAGTGAGGCTGAGAGACTTCAGAGAAGTGTGACTAGCCCAAGGTCACCCAGCAGCTGCATGTGGAGGAGCGGGGAATCAAACCCAGTTCACCAGATTACGAATCCACTGCTCTTAACCACTACACCACACTGGCTGGTATTATTGCTCTGGCATTGGGAGCAGGAATCCTGCACTGCAGGTGGGGGGCTGTTGGCAGCGCAGTGCCAAGCACCCCCTGACGTTTGGGCTCTGCCACCCCCTGGTCACACATGGCAGTGCAGTTGGATGTTGGTTTCTCAGTCGCACTCCTCTTAGGGGAGCTCTCTACAGGTGTAGTGAATAAGAGAGCATTATGCAAAAGACCAAGAGTTCATTAGCAGCGATCTAATCATCACTTGATGGATTTTGTGAGACTGCGGTGTTTTTTAGAGCTCATTGGTGATGCATAAAACTTGAGTTAACAGCCTCGTATCCAGCCGTTTATAATAGTTACTATTAATGGTGTGAAATTGCACAGCAATTGCCGCTGAGTAAAAACTCAAGCCATGGTGGACTTGTCCCGTTGATTTCATTAAAAACTTTTTTTTCCATTTTTTGATTTAACAATAATAACCATCAATTACATTTATATACATACTTATTTTGACTTACCTCCTCCCCTTCCTTGGTTTCTGATAAAAACATTCCCAAAACTGCATCTCCCCCTGACCAGCAAATCCAATGAATTGTGGGTGGAATGTCTCACCTGGGCCCAGAATATGTGTGGAGAGTAGAGTAATCTCCACCAATGGCTACGTAAGTTGCCTGGACATTCCAGTTTGGAACTCTCCTACCATGGTTCCTGCTCCCTCCTCAGTGCCTTGAATTGGTGGCTTCTGGTCACCGAATGAAACCAAGCAGCTACTGCCCAGGCTTCTAGCAGTAACAGGCAGGTGTCAGTCCAAGTACATGCTCTATCTGGTGTACTACATATGCCAAACTTGGCTGCTTGTGCTGTGTGCAGCTTGGCAGGACAAAACCCCTTTGTTTTATGCAGCCATTAAAATATGTTTCCCCCCCAATTCATTCCAAATCATTTCCCAGAAGTCTTTTACTATCTTACAAGACCACCACATTTGATAAAATGTGTGCCCCATTGATTTTGAGGGGACAAAAGTGTGACTAACTTGCACAGCCAGCCAAACCACGGCCATGCAGATGTTGGGCATAACACAGCCGTATAGCCACTGCTACATTCCTGTTTGCAGAAGGCAAGGAGAATTTTACCCTGGGGCATGTCAGCCCCGGAGCTGGCATAGTGATCGATTCTGATGCTATCAAGGGATGGCAATGAGTCTGGCTCTGATCCAGTGGATCGTGGGTTGGCCCAGGTCATCTCCAATCCTGTTTCGTTGGGAATGCCCACTGGGAATGCCCACATTTGGTGGGCAGAATAGGGAGCCCTATACTTGCAAAGTAATACTGGGGCAACCCAGTCAGATGGGCAGAATATGAATAACAAAATCATCATCCTCACTCCATGGCTGAAGGCTGCTGGAGCTTTTGTTAGCTTGGCAGAGAGAGACCTTCTCCTCATTCAATTCCCCCTCTCCCAGAGTTGTGGATCAAGGACGGCACCCTTAGTGTAGAATGGATCCTGTCCACAGAACAGTGTCATATGTCTTATTTTACTACCCATTACCAGGGCAAGAGGAGCGGGTGGCAAGAAAATGGACAGAAGCCATATGTAGCCCAAATGCGGCGAATGCTAAAACTTTATTATCTTGCTTTTTAAAACACAAACGCACACAACAATCAAAAACTTGTTTTTGTTTTGGAATGACTGTTTGAATATCATTTGCCAGCAGCAATTTGCCAGCGGTTTTTAACTTTTCCTTTTGTTGTATGCACTCTAATCTGGAGCTGTAAAAACCTCCCAATTAAGCTTTCTGAATAAAATATAAACGTTTAAAAGCAGCTCTCTTCGAGCGCCGCTGAAACAATGCACACAGGAGACCGTAGCGAAGGCCTTGCTTCCATGTCGAAAGTGCTTCCTAGCTTGCTTTGTAGGGTTGCTCAGAGGAAGTCAGGCCAAGGAAGGATATTAAAGAAAGAAGGAAAGGAGCCACTACAGACCTTCCCTTTGCAAATTTGGTTGGTTTATTTCTATCATTCCTGGCTCCCCTGCAATTTTCCTGGACGGTGTCTAAGCATTCCTTCGGAGTTCTGCATACCCCCAAATCTCTCCTCACTTTGACGGAAGCACAGGTCTGCAGCAACGCTTTTTGTGGGGATAATATCACTTGCTGCAAAACGGTATCAGGCAAAAAAACACCTTCAAACCCACGTGATTCTGGAAACATTGCAGACAGCCAATCTTCACCGGGTTCAGAAACAGCCTCTTCAGATTCTGTATATCATAAAATAGGGATGACTTTCACCATGGCCAACCAAATGCTGGTAGAGAAACCCTCAAGAAGGGCATGATTTCAGAATTCCACAAAAACTATATTCTGTATCACGCTTCCTCTACCACCCCCCTAGTGGAACAAGTGACTCTCTATTTTTCTCCTAGATTACAGTAATGATGGAGCCATGGGGAGATCATTCAAGAGTTTTGGAGCTGCCACCAACAAGCCCCTGCTATGGGTCCACACACTCTGTATGTCCTCAATTGGCCTCTGGCAGATTGGTATGGGAGGAGTTGCTCCCACAGATTACATTTCATAACCAAAATACAGTTTTTCTACTTGTTCCTTTTGTAGGGTTGCCGTATTCCCAAAAGTGAAAATCTGTACAAAGTTGTTGCCCTTATTTCGGGAACATCTCCTCCCAAAAAGTCATTTTTGGGCTTTACTTTGATTTCTAAATACTTTTTTTAAAAAAAGAATGCCCTACTTGCCATATGTTCAGGTTTTCCCAAACATTTTTGCCAAAGCAGCAAAAATCCGCCCGGATGCCATTTTGCTGAATGATTCCCGGACATGTCTGGGAAAACCCGGACACATGGCAGCCCTTCTTTATGTTCAATTTTTAAAAAATGTATATGGCTGCCTCGGTCTTTCCCCTTTCCTTCTTTCCAAGTGGCTTCCAATTTTCCAAAAGGAATCTCCCAGTTTCTAGGCAGGCAGATCCACAGGTGATGCTTAGTTCTTCCCTCTGTTGCTGCTATAATTAGCATGAAGAATTGAACCTCTTATTAGCATAAGCTTTCTTGATTGATTTTCCCCAAACCAATTGTTTGGCAGTCCCTCCCTATCTGACTTACCAGATAATGATTGGTTTACATCACTAGGGATGCATGGGCAGCTTTTGCCCAATTGCGATGAGTTTAAGTTTTGAAAAGAAGGTAAGCCTTACAAATGGGGCTCTGAGTCCATCTACCTGTCACAGGAGTGTGCCGCAGTAAATCACACCGTTCGCAGTTGGAGTTAACTCTTTATTAGCAAAAACATTTGCAACATATGAACAACTTGCATATAAATGCAGACTTGCCATGGACAAATTCAATGATATTCGGAATGTTCTTACAAATACTGTAATAGGTTAAGATCTGGTGAAGTACAATAACAACTTTGTAAAGTATACACTTTTGGGGTTTTTCTCCTCCCCTTCTACACTGGTGCTGTTTCTCTTTTTCTTTCTCTCTCTTTTATTTACGTCTTATCATGTTTAGTGCACATATAATTATGTACTTTTTGAACTTCCAGTAAAGATGTCTGAAATAAATAAATAAATAAATACTGAATTTTTCGCTCTATAAGACACACTTTTTCCCTCCTAAAAAGTAAGGGGAAATGTGTGTGTGTCTTACGGAGCGAAGGCAGGCTGCGCGGCTATCCCAGAAGCCAGAACAGTGAGAGGGAGCGCTGCGCAGTGCTCCCTCTTGCTGTTCTAGCATCTGGCTTAGTCGCGCGAAGCCTCCGCAGCTCAGCGGGGAGCCTTCATCCCGCTCCCCTGCGGAGGCTTCACGCGGCTATCCCTGGGTTTTGTGGGAGGTGGGGGAAGGGACAGAGCGCACGGCTCTGTCCTTTCCCCCACCTCCCAGAAAAGCCCCCAAGAGCCGCGTTCCCTTTAAAGAGCATGCAACTGTTGGCTGGCTTTTGCGGGAGGTGAGGGCAATCTAAACCCCTTGCAGCATTTTGTCATTCCTGCAACAGTCGGAATCAGCTAGTGTCTGAGAAGCCAATTCTGGGTTAATAGTGCAATCCTGTTCGTGGCTACTCAGAATTAAGTTCCACTGAGTTTAATAGGGCTTGCTCCAAAGTAACTGGGTACAAGATTAAACCAGTTATGTATACAGTATATGCTCAGCAATTTGTTTTCTCCACAAAAGGGGACCAGAAACTAGGTGCGTCTTATCGTCTGGTGCGTCTTATAGAATGAAAAATACGGTAACACCCCCCCCCCTCTTTATTAGCAAAAACACAATCTCTACAGACCTGGTTAAGTGTCAAGCCTAATGAGCAGAGCAGCTTATCCCTGGTAGGTCTGGCCCCATGAATCACTTGCCAAGACTGAAATTCCTCACCTCCACACAGCCATCAAGTCCCCTCCTCTCCAGGGCTTTCTCCAAGCAATTGGAGATGGTTCCTGTGTGCAGCTAACCTCTTCTCTGCCCTTTTCATGCCTCTTCTGGTTCTGGGAGACCACAAGAGAGGGGAGCTTGTCGCAGCAGGAAACCCATGACTCTTCACCAGTCTGACTCATCTCTGCCTCTCAGCCTCCCTCCTTTCCTGCTCCAGCTTCTTCAGATTCTGGAGCCATGGGCTCTCCCAGCTTACTAAGCTCCGTAACCCCTTCAGCTTCTGACACCTCCGATTCCCAGTCTTCTCCCTGTAACCACTCATCATTGTCCCACCATCACTCCCTGGGCTCCAAGCCTTCTTCCTTTAGTGGTTCTCCAGCTGGTTCCTCCCACCATTCCTCTGCGTCCAACCAGTCCATGACACTACCTCAGGGACAGGGAAACTTTGGCCCTCACAGGATTGCTGGACTCCAGCTTTCATCAGCCTCAGCCAGCATGGTCAATGGTCAGGGGTGATGGGAGTTGTAATTCAACACATCTGCAGGTCAACATGTTTGGGTTTGTGTGTGTGTGAGTCATAACACAAAATGGCTGCCACATCTAAAAGAACAGCAAGAGAGACAGGATCACAAAATGGTGCAGGTGTGTCCCAGTCAGCAATATCAGTCTTCCTCTTCAATGGGGAAAAGGCTCCTATATCAGTCACCCCTATGGCCACTCACAGAGACAAACCCTTTGCTCCTATTCTCTGTTCAGAAAGTGAGTGAGATTGGGTGTCCAGTCCTGGCACCCACTGAAATGTGGGAATGTTCAAAGCTATGTGCTCACTGTAGAATAGGCTTGACCACTGCAAACAGGAACTAAGCAGGATGAACAGCAAACAGTTTCTCATGCATTGTGGGCCTGCATTTAGTGAGATCTTTCATGGGTGCTGTAGGAGATGCTGGCTTGGGGATATTTACTGAGACCTCTCTGCTGCAGATGCTAATATTGCAGAGTTTGAAATGACTGGAAGCATAAGAACGGACTCCTTTTGGAAATGAATCATTGTCCAGGCCCATAAAAAATATTATTGAAACTTTTACTGGCAGAACACTTCAAAACAAAACATAAGCATCAAACATACATCCATACAACATCTTGTGCTATCCAGCACAGGCTCTGCATCTTACAAAATATGAAATAATCCAAACAGACCTATAATTAAAGATCTCTCTCTCTCTCTCCAGTCTGCGTTCCAGCCTCCCTCCAGTCTGCGTTCCAGCCTCCATTGGCTTTAGGCAATTTACTCTCCCTTCAGGAGAACTTAATTTACATCCTTACTCCAAGAAGTTTGGTAGACAAAGGATCAAAGGCAACTCTTTTCAAAATGGAGATTTGCAACCCAATACCTCTCACATGATCTAAGGTTACAACACTCACATGTTAGCTACCAGAGAACAACAATCAGTTAGTTAATCGTTAACCCATTAAGGAGCTCAGAGTCCTTTAGAAAACAACATTGGGGAAAAAACACTAATGTTAGCAACCCTTCAGCGATACACATTTAGCCATTTTTTGTTTCTGTGTGAATTAAATCAGTTATACTTAACACTCTCGTGGGTGGCAAAGGAGGTACTCAGGTCCCATACAAATGCAACAAGAAATTTTGAAGCAGAACAAAAAGGTTAGGAGGCTCTCACATCTCACCTTACATAGCTTCCTACATCTGGCAAATTTCAGCAGGTAATGGCTCCCAAAGCAACTTATTCAGCCCCAGTTGACCCTACCAATTTTTCATCAGCTGAAGATGTGATAATAGGTTTGCTCAGAGTTTCATTCTTAAGGTAAAGCAAAACAACGTATGCCGATATTCCACACTTTAGCCTACAGCTCTCTATTGGACTTTGTATGTACCAAGCTGGCCATGCCTGAGCATGTGTACTTCATAATGCGGACATCCTTTAGTTCCATATCAGCACCAGCTTATCAGCAAATCCAATGAATTGTGGGTGGATTGTCTCACCTGGGCCCAGAACATGGGTGGAGAGTAGAGCAATCTCCACCCACGGCTACGTGAGTTGGCCTGCCCATTCCTGTTTTCAACACTCCTACCATGGTTCCTGCTCCCTCCTCAGTGCCTTGACTTGGTGGCTTCTGGTCGCTGAATGAAGCCAAGCAGCTACTGCCCAGGCTTCTAGCATTAACGGGCAGGTGCCAGTCCAAGTGGACGCTCTATCTGGTGTACTGCAGATGCCAAACTTGGCTGCTTGTACTGTGTGCAGCTTGGCAGGATAATAATCCCTCTCTTCTTTCGTTCGTTTTATGAAGCCATTAAAACTATCCATGACCAAATCAGAAATTGCACAGCTGTTTCAATAGCGGCAAAACTGCTCCGAACCGGGAGCCCCAAGCGTAGGGAAAGAGGCCTTGGTGAATTGAGCGCTCTCTGAACTAACTTGTTCGTGGAAGCCCATGTATATTTAAAAAGCCTCTTGTTAGGGAATAGAGCCATAGTTATATGCTCACAATGTACATTCTTGTTGTTGTCGATGCTCCCGCTCTGTTCCCAGCTTACATCTTTTTCGGAGCTATTACCCAACAATGTGGCGTTATCAACCTCCAGCTATTGTAGCACATGAATATAATTACGGTTGGAAACACTTGGACTCCCTCCTAAAGTTAACTTCGCTTTCTCAAAATATGACTTCATGGTAGGTCATAACTGAGCCGCTCTAGTTCCGATGAACTTCCGAATGAAAATCCAAGTAGTAGCATTTCTGCCTTGAGGAATGACGCTCTCTAAGCCCAGCCATCTTCATTCCTAATTGCACCGATCCACGGTCAATTGGAACACGCGCTCCCTCCACCCTAAATAAGTCACAAATTTTGAAAGACAATGTTTACGCCTGGCATTTCCCAGAACAATCAGAATAAGATTTATTTAATGAACCATTTACTTAGCAGCTAATTAAGTTTTGCATCATGAATAACACATTCGGATTGCTGCAGCATTGTGAACAAGGATTCAATAAAATCAGCAATTAAGATTCCAAGGTTCTGTTGCTTTAAAAAAAAACACCAACAAACTATAGGGGGGGGGGAATGCCCCAGAGAACAATGTTTTTTTAATATAAAAAAAGAATGCTGAAAATGATCTTATCAAACAATAGTCCGATTTGCTCCCCTGCTTACTCCCTCCACTGCAAAATTTCATGCCCTGATCACAAACAAATAAGAAATGGGGATATTTATTTATTTATTGTGTTTATATGCCCATTTTTTGTCAGAAGTATCCTCGCATGCAAAAGTCAGGAATCATGTACCTTTAATGAAAAGTAGGAATATGCATGGCTCTTTCCAGTACAGTGGTGCCTCGCAAGACGAAATTAATTCGTTCTGTGAGTTTTTTCGTCTTGCGAATTTTTCGTCTTGCGAAGCACGGTTTCCCAAAGTCTTCAAAATCACCAAAGTCTTCAAAAACCTCAAAAAAGGCTACCACACCGCGTGCTATGAGTTGCTCCTCGAATTCACCCTGGGTATTAACGGTTTTAAGAAAAAGGAAACAAACTTGCAAGACGTTTTCGTTTTTCGTCTTGCGAAGCAAGCCCATAGGGAAATTCATCTTGCGAAGCAACTCAAAAAACGAAAAACTCTTTCATCTTGCGAGTATTTCGTCTTGCGAGGCATTCGTCTTGCGAGGTACCACTGTATTCTAAACCTCGTTCACTAAAAAACCAACCCGTGTGTAATCGTTATATTTTCTTATTTACAGATGAATAAGAAATCTCTAATTTCCTCCTGCTTATCCACATGCTGATTATTCTAATGGCTTGGATACAACATAGGTAATTCCAGGAGCGAATGCCACTATCTTGCACCATGTCCCAGTAAGGCAATGTCTAGTGATGTCTTGCCTGCTTGTACAATGAAATTCCACTAGCACAATGGGACTTCTGGGTTTTCTTCTCCCTTCTGCAGCCCCCTTTGCGCACACACCCCAAATCTGCCCCAAAGGGTCCCTCAACCCACCGGGGCTGATTTTGGGGATGCTCACCACTGGATCTCATTCATAGCATTTGCCACATATTTAATGTATAACTGGATTTTGTCTGGATTACGGGGTCAAATGTATGCTGGAAATGTAAGGAAAAAGAAGGCACCTTTTATCATATGTGGTGGAAATGTAAGGTAGTAAAAGAATTTTGGGAAATGATACGTAATGAGTTGGGAAAAAAATGTTTGAAATAACTTTTTCTAAAGAACGTGAAGCTTTCCTCTTAGGAATTCTAGGTGCCAAAATCCCAAGAGACCAGAAAAGACTATTTACCGTATTGGCCCGAATATAAGCCACCCCCCCCAATTCTGACCCTGAAATGTTAAAGTGCGGCTTATATTCGTGACCTTACAAAAAATGGTTTTTACAATATTGCTGATGAAACATGGTAAAATGGAACAAAAAAAAGTTTTATTGCTGATTTGAGAGCTTGAGTGCCTGCAGAATTGTAGCAATTGAATAGCGATTTGCAATTTTAGCGATTGTACGGTA